GCAACTAAAAATCTGCCCAGTGGGTCTCAAGCGTGTGCCACGCTACCTGACTGGGAAGTCCTGACTGGCGGGTCAATCGATCGTCAAAACCAGGACAGTTACTGGGTCGTCGTTCGATGAGTCGGGCACACCAATCACATTGCTCAAGTGTGAACACGTTCGCCCGCTCAGCCCTAAAAATTCGGATGCGTCCAACGTACGTTGGTGCATTAGTGGTCACACGTTCGAGGCGAACGTTCGAATCCCGGCACGGCCACTGGATATGCACTGCTGATTCGCTCTAATAAGAGCGAAACTCGAGTCCAGTGCCTACCTTTGGTGTGGACTCACCGGAATAATTACGCCAGAACAGGAACACGGCCATTCAAACGAGAGTGGTGTGGCTATGAACAAAATACCTATCCCGCAAAACCCCAAGATATACAAAGCGTTGAATAATCACGCACAATCTAACCATGACATTCGAATATGCAGGTAATGGGTGCTGCACACAAGCTACAAGGTGCTCCAACTCCCATTTCGAACAAAAACCACATGTAAAAAACCTTTGAGTTCACACAAGCTAGCAACAGACAAAAGTACAATGGCATGAATCGATACTACTGAGGCAAGTTTTCCTTCTTCTTTGAAGGAGGACTCCAACCGCATGAGCTATTGTTAATTTCGCGGGAGCGGGATCTCGAGGGTGTACCTTCGTTTTAATCAGGATGTTTGGAGAACCTAAAATTGCCTTTCTAAAGGGATGACTTCTGGAAACTACGGATACTTTATCAGTTCATCTTTCAAATTCAAAAATACGTGGTTTCAATCCCATATATGGTTGAAACAGCTGTCCTGTTTTCATTGAATATAGCTGCTACCTACAGAAATGCATACGATACGACAGAAAGCCAAATAAAATGTAGTAAAAAACGATTATGTTGTTGCTCATCTTATAACTTAGACATATTATTCATAAGGTTGCTTAAGACTCTTTGACAGCCCAACACCTGTTTCTTGAGGCTCATCAGGTGGGCGCAGTCCAACATTTTCCATCAGCGTTCAGCTCTACTTGAACCAAAATTGCACGGAAACCGATAGATATACACGGTTGAATACCGATTTGGTTTTCACGGAAAACACAAAACCCAACCCGATGTTCCCCTTCAACTGAATGGGCTGCACCAGGCCGCCTCATGTGTCCATTAATAGAATCTTCAAGACGTCGCAATGCACTGTCTCAACGTAATACACTACTCGTGCATCTACCTAATGAACCCAAAGAAGGGCAAAAACTGTGTTATTCTGTTGGGCGTGTTACGTCTGGACAATGTGTTATGATGTCTCGGATACCTTGCCAGCTGGAACATGAGACGGACCGGTGCAGCACATTCAGTTGAAGTATGTCATTATAAACGCGAGATTTTGGTTGGATTTATTTGAATCTCGCGTCAAAAGCAACTTCGTATGTAAATGAGGGTATTTGACTAAACCTTTGGATGTTTCGCCGGTAACTTATGAGAATTAGGCAGAGTAAGTCATTTTTCTACCTATTGAATGGTACTTTACTGGAACAGCGAATATTTCTTCGATTTCCCGAGCATTTTTAGCAAAATGTGATGGAATTCTGGGCGTTAATCAATAAGTTGGTCGGCATTTGTGATGGGAATCCGGTTTTCATTTCGGTCTCAGTTCGGGTGTCACTGTTGTGCCCGACATGTGCGAAATACTAAAAGAGCCACTCTGGATGGATGATCAAACCAAACATCCTGTTAGCAAATAGGGAGACTTTTGTTAGTCGAGAAATACACTCATTTGCAAATCAATTTAGTTTTCACGAGAGACTCAACTGAATCTCTCGTTTATAATATTCTACAACTGAATGTGCTCCACACAGGCTGCCTCATGTTTCAGTTGGCACAATATTCGAGATATCGCAGTACATTTTCATAAAGGAAACTACGCACAAGGTTGCTGAAAATTCATCGGCAGCCCACGACCGGTTTCGCCCTTCTTGGGGCTCATCAGGTAGGCACAGTCTCCAAGTTTCCGTCAACCTTATGTTCTACTGGAAACCAAATTGTACGAACTTAACGAAATACACTCAGTTGTCTGAAAAAATCACAAACGAGAGATTCAGCTGAGTTTTAGGCAACCTTATGAGCGGTGAAGTACGAATATACATGTATTGCGATGTCTCGAATGTCGTGGCGACTGAAACATGAGGCGGCCTGGCGCAGCAAATTCAGCTACCTGGAAACATCCCAAGCGAGAGATTCAGCTGGGTTCCAGGTGAGTCTCTCGCAAAACCAAATTATTTTGCAATTAGATTAAGTTCACACTGGCATGATTTACGCTTAGTAACATAAGTTCTAGCTTGGGAAGTTCTCTCTCTCTCTCTGTCTTTGATTTTCCATTAGGAGAGGTAAGGTACTCCGACCTCAAGATTCAGTGTTTCACTATTCCAACACAACCCACTAGTGTGGTATTGGCACTTGGAGTTGACACTGTGTCTGAGTTTTAAAAACTGTTCCTGTTTTTCAGCAGACTGAAAAGATGCGCTTTAAAGCACGAGTCACATGTTATAGTGGACCTGCAAAATTTGAGGCGATTAAACAAACATTTCACAACAGACTGGCACACGTCTTCATTGACCTCGTAACCAGGGTAACATAAACGCGGTTACCACACTTGACCTTTGAGGTGACACTCTATTGACAAAACAAGCTGACTTTTCGCCTTTCAGCAATGTGATTCTGTGTTGCTCGCTTTGACAACGATTCAGTGAGAATGACTCATTTAGACGTGACATCTACTCAATGAACATTTTTGTCACCCACAACGAGGTCACATGTTCCGTAGATGGGGATGTTTGGTAACGCACAGTACGAACAATTCAATGATTTATTTCAATATTACTATCAAACACGTGTCCAATTTGACGTGCTTACGGTTGGACGTGAGAAACACGATTTTTCGGATCTGCACCCACCCACCCCAGGATGAGAAACTGAAGGTTCTTTGGCTTGTTTACTCGTGGAAACGTGGAAGAACACGCGTCCTATTTCAATAGCCTTGTGATTGGTTTGTATCCACGTGGCTATCGGGGTCAAACACAATAAGACTAAACTGACCCAGTGTGTGAAGCAAACTATCGGTCAAAGAAAGACAGTCTTAGATTAAGTTCACACTGGCATGATTTACGCTTAGTAACATAAGTTCTAGCTTGGGAAGTTCTCTCTCTCTCTCTGTCTTTGATTTTCCATTAGGAGAGGTAAGGTACTCCGACCTCAAGATTCAGTGTTTCACTATTCCAACACAACCCACTAGTGTGGTATTGGCACTTGGAGTTGACACTGTGTCTGAGTTTTAAAAACTGTTCCTGTTTTTCAGCAGACTGAAAAGATGCGCTTTAAAGCACGAGTCACATGTTATAGTGGACCTGCAAAATTTGAGGCGATTAAACAAACATTTCACAACAGACTGGCACACGTCTTCATTGACCTCGTAACCAGGGTAACATAAACGCGGTTACCACACTTGACCTTTGAGGTGACACTCTATTGACAAAACAAGCTGACTTTTCGCCTTTCAGCAATGTGATTCTGTGTTGCTCGCTTTGACAACGATTCAGTGAGAATGACTCATTTAGACGTGACATCTACTCAATGAACATTTTTGTCACCCACAACGAGGTCACATGTTCCGTAGATGGGGATGTTTGGTAACGCACAGTACGAACAATTCAATGATTTATTTCAACATTACTATCAAACACGTGTCCAATTTGACGTGCTTACGGTTGGACGTGAGAAACACGATTTTTCGGATCTGCACCCACCCACCCCAGGATGAGAAACTGAAGGTTCTTTGGCTTGTTTACTCGTGGAAACGTGGAAGAACACGCGTCCTATTTCAATAGCCTTGTGATTGGTTTGTATCCACGTGGCTATCGGGGTCAAACACAATAAGACTAAACTGACCCAGTGTGTGAAGCAAACTATCGGTCAAAGAAAGACAGTCTGTGGACGATAGAATAATAACTCAGTACTTAACTGTCCAATCAGCGAACACATACCCCCCAACAAAAGCCCATGCAACTGACCGTAAAAGTACCGTCATCTACTGGGGCATTTCCCCGGCGAACGGCTCGTGAGGTTCCATGAAATTTAGTTTGTGTTATACGGTCATTACTACAGTTCAATTTTTTTCCTGTTTTAGCGAGACTAGTGGAATGGCAAATAATCCGCAAAATGTGACTTCATCGTCGGATGATTGACCACAGTCATCTGATTTTCGAGGACACCTGTGACATGAAAGTAATGAAAGTATGTCCCAAGATCTCATTCGGATTTCCAGTCTTGTACCATGTCCTATGATTGGTCCCCTGTAATCGGCTTTCTGTTCAGTAATTGATTAGAAAAGACAAATCATAGCACAGGTGCTATCCATCCGTGAAGGTTGAACCACATGAAGTTCACCAGATCACTTCATTCACTGATAGGCAGTTTCAGGTCGGGTGGTGTAGAAGCAGATCAACGGCTGGTGTATAATAAAGTCAGCATGCAGCTAGGCAAAAGATTCCACTTTACGCGGATACTTTCCTTGTTTTGTACACCATCAATCCTTGATGCATTCTGTGAAGCAAAATATGGTCAATAACTGTGAAGTTATGGGATGACATCAGACAGGTACACTCCCAAATCAGCTTCTGTTCTGTCTACTTAGCTCTCGCCTCATAAACTGCGTGCTCTGAAAGAACTTTTGCGCCGGATAAATGCGTGATCAACATTACTGAATGACTGAGCCCAGAGCAAGAGATACCACCTCTTGCGGCCAATCGTGGTCGATAATCTTAACTTTGGAGAATGGCGCATTTTTGAAATGCTTATAGGCTACGCAGGACTGATACAATAAAATGAAATTAAACGAGAGTTTATGGTTTGCAGAAACCGGTCTTGATGATACGATGTCGAAATTTGTGGACATTATTCAGCATATAAACACCATAAACGAGAGATTCAGCTGGGTTCAAGATGATTCTCTCGAAAAAAAAACAACTTTGTTTCCAATTGAGTGTACTTCGCTAATTTCGTGCAATCTGGTTTCAAGCGGGGCATAAGGTTGATGGAAACTCGGGTAATTCGCTTACTTGATGAGTCCCAAGAGGGGAAAAACCGATCGTGGGTGTTCGAAGAATATTTAGCAACCTAGGAGTAGTGTATTAGGACTATTCAGATCGATTCATATTGACAACCGTCAGTACTTCTAGATTTTTCTTAAACGGCTAGGTTGAAGAGTATGACCTTGGATTCCCTGTTGACCTTCAGCTTGAGCAGCAAGTAGGTAGAGGATCCTCGTGTGAAAGTCTATTTATTTTCTTGGATTGCGCAATGTTCGTGTGGATATGATCGAGAGCATTCGACTAGAAGCATGTGCAAATACATCTCTTCACTTGTTCTTTGTGCGATTGTTCAATTGTAGGGTAGGAGCGTTTTGGGAATAGCTAAACCTAACATCAGACACTAATCAGACTCTGAATGAATGAAGGAGAATGTTGGTAGCTCGGGTAGCATAGATGGTCGTTGGTTGGTTCGCTGAGCCGGGCAGTTTGATTGCAAACGTTTCATCACCAACCCAGGTGGCATCATCAGGGCGTTGTCAGGGAGCGCGGTGGAGCGTAACGATGGCTTGTGCCAACCACCAACGATCAACTAAATGAATGACATGCTGGAGACTTAGACGCTCTTTGGTATACAGCGATAAATGGCACAAGATTATGGGCTCTCCTGCCATCCAGTACAAATAGACCTATATACCTCGAAAGTCACTAATTTCTGAGGACCCGCAAGTGGTTGAAAAAACAACGTATAAGTTTAAGGTGGCTAAGACTTAGACTCAGAAGTATGCGACTCGCACAGTCAGACTATGGGGAAATTGACTCTGTGGGCGCAAGCTCCTATTCCGTCAGCGCCTTATACTCGCAGTTGGCTTAGCAACAGCCAGCGCGAGAGTATAAAATAAACCACGCAAATGTCTTCATTCGAATAAATCATAAGGTTGACGGAAACTTGGAGACTGCGCCTACCTTATGAGCCCAAAGTGGAAGGGCGAAACCGGTCGTGGGCTGTCGAAGAGTTTTCAGCAACCTTGTGAGTATTCTCTTTCATGAAAATATACTGCGATATCTCGAATATTGTGCCAACTGAAACATGAGGCAGCCTGTGTGCAGCACATTCAGTTGTAGAATATCATAAACGAGAGACTCAGTTGAATCTCTTGTGAAAACAAAATTGATTTGTAAATGAGTGTATTTCTCGAAAACAGTTCAATTTGGGTTCAAGTAGATCATAAGGTTGACGGAAACTCGGGAACTGCGCCTACCTGATGAGCCCATAGTGGAAGGGCGAAACCGGTCGTGCTCTGTCGAAGAGTTTTCAGCAACTTTGTGAGTAGTTTCCTTTATAAGAACTTACTTTGCCTTTATTATGAAGCTAGTACCCTATGTGAAGCTCTGTGTGAAAACAAACACATATTTGCAGGTGTTTGCCTGCACTTTTCGAGATCGTCAGGATTTAGTTGTAACTTAATAGTCCTAACTTGCCTCGGACCTGTTATTCCCCGCTTATTGTAACTAAAGTACGCTTTTTCCAAAGATTTACGGATGATAGAAATGGAAAATATGAAATTATTTGCCTGGCGCGACATAATTTTAGACATCATTTTACCTTTGGTTGACCATGGTGGCTGGAGTACATATTTGCCTGCCTTCGGCAGCGTGACATTCAGTAGCCCTCAATAGGATGAGGTACAGTACCACCCATCATTCAGTCACAGAAATGACAGCGGGCGGTCACACCTTGACTGGCTTTTCATGTAACGGACTCTCATATGTAACGATCCGAAGTTGCTGAAAACTTTTCGACAGCACACGACCGGTTTCGCCCTTCCACCATGGGCTCATCAGGTAGGCGTAGTCCCCGAGTTTCCGGCAACCTTATGTTCTACTTGTTTGCAAATGAGTGTATTCCGCCAATTTCATGCAATTCGGTTTCAAATAGGACAAAAGGTTGACGGAAACTCGGAGACTGCGCCTACCTGATGAGCCCCAAGAAGGTCGAAACCGGTCGTGGGCTGTGGAAGAGTTTTCAGCAACCTTGTGAGTAGTTTCCTCTATGAAACGTGTAGTTCATCTTTATTCTTGCGGATGACAGAGTTCCATTCAACCGTCGAACCACTGCCCCTGAATACTCCGGTGGTCAGTTAACAAATCAAAATTTAAAACACGGTTCCTTCGAAAAGTAGTGACCTTGGTGATCCGTGTTTTATTGGTTCTCTTGAAATTTTGAATAAGGCTTTCTTTTTCTCCACCCGCACAGGACATCCAGTTTACAGTTGTTATTTAAACCCTCTTACTGCACTTGTGACCAAGTCTCACAGAGTTGTCTCAAGCTGGTTTCGCCTTGACCAATCCATTACCCGAAGGTTGATTCTCCATGGTAAACGGCGCAATGTTGTTCATTTGATGCTGACGGACACCTGTATATCCTATTACTATTTTTTAGAAGTAGAGGTGGGACACGTCTCTATGCACATCGCAAATAGGCTGCCAAATATGGCAGTGTCTTTGAACATTATGGGCCTGTCTGGTAAGTGCCTAGTGTCTGTACCTATTTCGTTATCTTTTGGATGTGCAGATTTAGGTAGCATGTCATATTCAAATGCAAGCTGTGGAAAATCGATAGCAGTTATAGCTAACCACTTGGTTAGCCAACAGACTGAAGGTTTGAACCATTCAATTTCTCACTGCAGTTTGCCTTGCTGCCTGAGGCCTCCTACCTGGAGGATGGCGGTTGTGTACACATGAACAGATGGGGGAGATGTACGGCATCGTCTCAAGCTCATGTGCTTCGTGGCTTATTACGGGAACACCGTCTGTTTCGGACGTGACCAAGGAAAATGCATTTAGAACATTCCACCTGGTAGACACTGTCTGGAAGGGTTGCGAACCAACAAGAATATTGATTCAGAGCATGAGTCTACCAAAGAACACTGAGGTGATTTGATTAGCGAGTAATTTAGGGCAAGCAGTTTTATGCTAAAGCACAGAGTTCTCGAATAGCCCTCCACTCAAGATAAATCCTAGTTGAGTTGTTGCGATCAGTTATAACAAAAACAGATTATGTAGACCCTTTTTCTGCTGGCCAACTAAGGTACTTAAGCGAATTTCGACAAATGCATAGCGGTTTCGTGTTGACGGAAGATTCACCCGGAACCCCGCCAAATTTCTCGTTTTATGATGCTTCTGAGCTTAGTAACATCACAGAACGAGGGACTAAGCTGGGCTTTAGGTGAATCGCTTGTCAAAACCAAGTTAGTTTGCATATCTGTCCAATTAGGGTTTAAGTAGAACATAAGGCTGGCGAAAACTCGAGGACCGCGCATACCTAATGAGACTCAAGAAGGGAGAAACCGGTCTTAGGCGGTCGAAGTGTTTTCAGCAACCTCTTGAGTAGTGTATTACGTCTATTAATGTGCACATATTTCATCAGTGGATGTTGTTGGCTGCCTTCGGATACTTCTGTGCTGGTGTAGCGGCAAACACTAATGATGAAACGCGCAGGCAGCATCCGCTTGCGCATCCCAGAGTGCCGTTCTTGCATCTGAATTGAAGTCTGATTCGGAACTTATGGGACTGATTTACACTATGTCTCCATTTTTGCTCATTGTTCAACCAACGAATTCGCTTACATTTAGCTTGCGAAAAGACTTCACCCTTCTGTCTTTAGAGCTAGCCATTCGATTAATTCAGATGAGTAATTCGTTTTTCATTGCGGTTGATTTTAACCCTTTTCTCTTCTCTCGACTCACACTGAACAAAGTAGAGTATCGAATTTGAGTGAGTAAAGTAGAATACTACCTCTCTGGGGCCAATTAAAAGAGACCTGGGGGACTATGCTCCCCTTTGATTGACTTGTTCAACTTTTGTGAATACATTTTTAGCGAATTCCGCACCGAAATTTTTCATGAAGAAAAAGCAACTTAAGGGACCACCGAAATAATCCGAATTGTGGGATAGCGCGATTTCGGCTCCTCTTCTAGGATGTTGCCGCATCGAGTCTGAGGAAGGGCAAAACTGATGATGAGCTGCTGAAGAGTTTTCAGCAACTTAATGAGTAGTGTAGCACTTTTGGACAATGTGTAGGGATATCCCGAATATCGCACCAACTGAAATATGAGGTTGCCCAGGGTAGCACATTAAGTCGAAGTGAACCATCATAAACGGGAGATTCAGCTGATTTAATTTGATTTGCCTGTCAGGACAAATGAGAACATGTGTTAAAAAATACCATAGACTTCTTGTTTCACTGAAAACTCTTCGACCGTGTTATTGATGGGTGCACCCGTTCTTCTGTTTCGGTTGGCATGATCGATCTTACGGACAGTGAACTCGCTAGTTGAAAAGTACCTGTGCTTCCAACATAATACAGCTGTTTATGAAGATCATCATTCTCGGACTTCATCCGGAACTTTCTCTGACTTTTAGGCGTTGCCTACGTAGAGTTCACATGTAAGGGAAGGTTGCAAACTAAATGGATTATGCAAATCTTGCTTTATAAACAAACAGCAGAACCACTAAAGAATTGCTGTGCAGGTTTTCAGAGGAATCGTTGTGCTGTACATTAGTGCACATGTTTGCATGAACTACTGTTCTAGACCTTTTTCCCTAGATTCAGGAAAAAGCTTTGGCCTTGAACGAATCACCTAGATTTCAGCTTACTGGTTCTCATTTATTGGCTTGGACTTTACTTTCAAGTGCGCGCCAATTTCATTGATTATCTCCTGTTTTGTTGAAACTAAAGCTTGGTCATTTTGTTGAAAGGTAGGTTGGAAATAGTAAAGTTGTAACAAGCTTTCGGTGCTTAGCTGTCCTGACCCTCGAAGGAAAAACTAAAGCTAAGAGACTGTCGAGATGCCAGGGTTGGACCTCAACCACGGACCTTCCGATCACTAAGTTCACCCCTAACTACTAAGCCATCGGTAATAATACCGCACTCACTATTGACTAGAAAATGAGGTGCGGTCAGTCACTAAAAATGACACTTGTCACGTTTTGAGTTTTCTGATGAGCGAAGTTCCGTCTGACAGCCACCCCAATCAACTAGCTATCATAAGGTTGACGGAAACCCGGGGACTGTGCCTACCTGAGGAGCCCCAAGAAGGGCGACACCGATCGTGGGCTGTCGAATAGTTTTCAGCAACCTCGTGAGTAGTTTCCTTTGTGAAAATATACTGCGATATCTCGAATATTGTGCCAACTGAATCATGAGGCGGCCCGTGTGCAGCACATTCAGCTGGAGGACATCATAAGCGAGAGATTCAATTGAGTCTCCCGTGAAAACAAATTGATTTGCAAATGAGTGCATTTCTCGAACATAGCTGTCAACCACTTTAACATAGCTGCTTCGTTTATGGTTGACTATTAGTCCATACTCAATCACTGAGCTATCTCTAGCGAAGAGTATTCATACGACGGTAGAAATGTTCCATAGTGATGGAGAGCAATGTATGAACGGAAGTTGACAGGGGTCTTTCTTTTCTGATGTAGTGCTTACATGAAAAGCTTTCCCATGTGTTCGACAGAATAGCAATCTAATGAGCCTGTAGTGAGTTGTGTATGAATGCCAGTGTCAGTTTGTAGCATCTGCAATCCATTTGAATAATCCTTTCACAACTCATTTCTTTTTCAGGTACAGCACAATTTCTCGAAAATTGACCTCAAGCTCTCGTTATGGAAAGTCTTCTATTTCTGTTCCCTGTTATCGCAAAAGTAATAGCTTTGACCAGTTTACCCAATCGCTACTCAATTTATCCCAAGCCGTGCAAATCAAAACATGCTTCTCTGTAGAAAAAAAACGGTTGGTCGTTTAGAAAACTGTAGATCAGGTTGAGCTGATTACCGTGTTACTGGTTATAGGATCTGGTTTGGTACTGAAGGACATGTAGTATGAGAGCCACAAAAGATCGGTTGGCAAGTCCAAAGTGTTCGAGTTCTGTTTGTATGTCTTTTGTAAGAGTTCTGGGGGCGTATTGGGAAACAGTTGTGCATTGGTCTTGTTATTGGGCTGTTGTGATTGTATACTGTCTGATTCGGTGAACAATGACGGGGAGCAACTTGGGGTAAAGGCTGGCGGAAGGAACTGGTTTGCTGCACTGATCTTCACACAAGGTTTGTTTGTAGAGCATTGTTTTACGAATGTATTTACAGTGTCACTATGTTTTCCGTGACCCGAAGCGATTGTTTTCGTCCCTTTCGGGTGCATCTCCGTAGATTCATTTGGAGATATTTCTGCAGCACAGAGAGAGTCACGGGGAGGAACGTCATTCAGATTGTCGCCGGTCAACTCTGCAGCGAACGCGTCGGTTTTGCTGAGCAGACAATGAGCATTAGGGTGGCACATCCAGTAGGGACTCTGCTGAAGCAATCGCTGCACTGCCATAAAGTTGTCGGCCTCGGCGAGTAATTCCAAACCAACGGCCGTTTGCCGCTTCCATTTCGTCCTGATAAGAGTGACGAATGATAAGGGTTACTTAGTTGCAAAAGTGTGACAACACTTGATTAGGAAATTTGTGATAACACGTTGAATACTGGATTCTCAGGCGGTTGTGCTCTAAGCCCACTCTTAAGAGATTTTCAGACAGCACCCACAGTTCAGCCAATGATCATAACATTGTACCAGATACACGTTGTACCATACTTGTGGTTTCTGTGAGCACAGATCATTTCGTTTTCCAGAGGGAAAGAAAATTAACGGCCGAGAACGTGTGAACTCTTTTAGTCTGCAGTTATGATTTTGCACACTGTCAGAAGAAAAAATTGTATGTGCTTCTGAATACCTTCGGCAAAAACTAGTGAACGTAAGAAGCGGAGTGTTAAAACCTTATTCAACTAAATGAGGTGTAGTACCATCCCCTTTCAAACATCATTTCCTCAAGACTCTCCGTGAGATTAGCAGATGGTGTGCAACAAAATAATGACCTTGTGACCACTATTGGTTCAAGGACTGTCAGACTTGTTATTCAACAGAATCACACGCGGGTTCACTCACTGCATCTTGCGCATGAAGTGAGCAGCTTGGGTTAATCTGGATAGCACACCTATGTACCACTGTGAAATCAGGACGGAAAAGAGCATAAACTTAGGAGCAACTGCTACCAGGATATCTGGAGATACCTTGGAACACTGCACAATGCTTTCTTATAGACTGTAAGTACGAAGCAATCCTATTCAGTGTTTAGTGCCTGTGCATCTGTAGAGAGGCGCTTAGGCTTTTGGCCAATCTTGATACAATGCATACATCTGATTTCCTAATATAATATAGGTTTTATAGAGGTATAGGATACGGGCGTTACTGAATGTCGGTCATCATGCCCTCAGTTCATGTGCTTTCAACCTGGAATCCGGCTTTCATAGTCTCAGACAGTGACTATGTGCGTCTGATCAACTTTGGGTGACTACGTGATCGTGACCGCTCTTAATTCATCCTGGTCGATCTCAAGAAATCGATAACGGTCGGGTGACCAATCATCTGCTATCACATGATCTGTCACTCTTAAGTAGGACTACAGATAGCAAAGTCCTCTGAAAAGTGAAGATATACCGGAGGGGTTAGGTTACACACCTTGAGTTTGAACCGCTTCAAGGTGATAATGTTCAGATTGCCACTCTAAATCACCAGACAGCATCGTTCACTGGTTTGGATGAGTTGTGTAGGCACGTGTCTAGAAATCAAAAAGAACCAAACCACTATAAAAATGTTCTCATAAAACCGTCTTACCGGACATCAAATTCACAGTTAGTATTAACATCACCTTGGAACTTCACTGTCCTTGACCATTTTTGAATGAATAATTTCGAAAACAAGGGACCGTAACATCATTCACCAGAACGATGACACTTTTGTCTCTGCATACAGTTGGGGTACAGATAGACCAGGCCAGTTCCGCGAGATCGTCACGCAATTTCGTTGGATTCAGCGAGACCAGTTGAATTATTCATCAAGCGGATGATGAGTGGACCCACAAAAACGTCTTGTTTACTTTGCCCATCACACATGCATGGGATGGGCGTCTGGTGGAAATTTTCTGATGGTTTTTTTGCTGAATTTCAATGGATGACTTTCAAAATGACTGCACCCAAAATTCACGAAAGGTATTGTCACTCCAAAGACCGCGACGCATTCATTCTTTTCTGGTCTGTGCCAAAAAAATGGGCTTACTCCCCGTTCACTTAGAACATTCGACATAAGGTCTCTGAAGGTCTTCGATAAACTAGGAACTCTTAATTTGCAAATCAAGTAGAACACAAGGTTGACGGAATCTCGGGGACTGCGCCTACCTGAGGAGCCCCAACAAGAGCGAAACCGGTCGTTGGCTGTCGATGAGGCTTCAGCAACCTTGTGAGTAGTTTCCTTTATGAAAATGTACTGCGATATCTGGAATATCGTGCCAACTGAAACATGAGGTGGCCTGTGTTCAGCACATTCAGTTGTAGAATATCATGAACGAGAGATTCGGTTAAGTCCCTCGTTAAAACCAAATTGCTTTGCACATGAGTGTGTTTCTCGAAAACAGTTCAATTTGGGTTCAAGGAGAACATAAGGTTGACGGAAAATCGGGGCTGCGCCTACCTGTTGAGCCCAAAGTGGAAGGGCGAACTCGGTCGTGAGCTGTGGAAGAGTTTTCAGCAACCTTGTGAGTAGTTTCCCTTACAGAAACTCCTAACTTGCGATGAAAACAATCAAAATCCATCATATTTGCACGGCGCTCCTAATTTCAGTTTAAGTCGTTTGGGGTTTTGTCCAAGAAGGTGCTATCATTGTTTGTATACAACCATGTGGATGCATTTGTCAGGCATGACTGCCTCTGTGAAATACGTCAAACGCCTTTTGAATCTACGGAAGATCTCCAATATTTCCAGAAGAACTATCTCAAGATCGGTTAGTTTCGAGGCCACCTTACTGAAGTGAGGATGGCTCATTATAGACCGGTATGGTTTTCATAATTCCATCACCTGGCATTCGTTTCAAGAACCGCTTTATATCAACTGTTGGTAAACGTCGCACAATTTACAATCAGATAACGAACATAGGAACCGACATATCACACTTGTTTGAAGTCGGAAATTTTACTGGTATCCCACGGATGGTATGTAGAAAAAAGTTTACATATCTTTAGCCACGCCCAAATGTTATTGGCAGGCATCGTTCATCTTCGGAAAGGGGATGTATTTTGATCTGCCGGAAGAGGAATTATTTATGAGTTTAGACCGCTTCCGAAGTTTGCTCATTCTCAAAGATGTTTAGTCCTTACATCAATTCATTGAAAAAGGTGTTCAGCAAGAAACGGAGTTGAGAAGCACCCGCAACTCCATCGTCAGCCAATACAGGGGGAATATCGTTACATTGATGTGATAACCGAAAAACGTATCGAGCGGGTAACTTTGACAGCCCAATCTAGTCCCATATTCGACAACGGATTGTGAAAAACCTTGAGTCCTGTTGACCCTTGTGATCACTTTGTCCTAAATACCGGAGGCTGGTTTAATGAAGCCATATTCTCAAGTGTTCGCTTTCAACCAAAATGATCCGTTGAGAATTACCTACCTGCGATTCTGGTACCAAGTCTTCACCTGCATATCGGACAGCCCGAGGCGCGCAGCGAGTTCCATTCGGTCCTGGACCGCCAGATATTTTTGCCTGTCGAAACTGTGTTCCAGTTCACTTAGCTGCTGATCGGTAAACGCTGTGCGTGCTTTCCTGTTCTTCTTTCCCTTAGACCCGACAGAAAGACCGCACGGAGATTCGAAGTGGGATTTCGTTGAACAGTTTTTCTGGTGCGATTCAGATGGCTTAGAGCGACTTTCCGAGGGTGAATTATCACGGTTTTCCGGGATACTGCGCAAAATCTGTGGTTGGCTACTTTCCGTCGGTCTGGCTGTCCATGACTCCGTACCAGCTGATAATAAAAAGTATAAACAGGAATATATTATTTGTGGCGTTCGTACTGGAAACTTTCAACGGTTAACCAGTGGAATCTGTTGGTATTATGTACTTCAGATCAGCTTTAGTTTCCTGTGTCCAAAAGTTAAACAATGGATAGATCGGACAGTTAAGGGGTCTTGCACTGGACCACACCAATCTTTCTGATGTACCGCTCTCCAAACGCGCCTACTTAGTCAATCGAGCCAACATTGATAGCTCAAACGCAACTGTTACCGACTGGCAGCTATACCCAGCATCGTTACCCGTGAGGGTAACGGCCAGAATACTAGTTTTGTTGCTGTTTGGTTATAAGCATTTGTACCGTGTGAATTGGAGACAGGGAAGTTGTGATCCGTCTTTTTGGTGAATGTTGCAACGAAGTTATAGCATCTTGTGTACAGTGAGTACCAAACGAAATGCATGACCACCTTATGGCGTTGGGTACAGTAGTCTAATTCATATGTTGAAGAGGGCGACTGAGTTTATATTCCTAACAAACACATTATTAGAGCCCTAGTTGCTCCACTAAATAAAGGATTGTCGTGTGAACAAACAGATCATCAGTCCGCACCATAGATCCATAGTTTATGTTCGACTAGCGAATATGAGATGGGATAAGCACAGTTCATCAGAGTAGAACGGGAATTAGATGTTATCTCAGCTGGCCAAACTTTGCTTTGACTCCCAACTCCTGTGAGGTAGGCTCATTAAACGAGCCATTCAGGACGGAGGAATCGCGTTAAACCTCATGGAATTCACAACTATATGTGAAAGATTTCGAACAATAATTCGGGTGGAATTGAGGTCGAATTATACTTAAACCTCTAATCTGGGTTTGTGCAAGAACTATCTCACGTTCAGCGCTGCACATAGCCTAGGGCATTTACATATTCAGTGTCAGATGTCAACCCACAAAACGTACCAGTAACATGATATTTTCAGCAATCTTACAACATTGCCACGCAAACTGAAAGTTGGTATTCAAGTAATGTGAACCTAACCCCTTAATTCCATCATGTCATTACGCGGGATGTACTACTTATGGTCGCTGTTGAAGATACCTTATACTCCTTACTGACAAGCTGTTCTCGTTTGGTTTCAGGCTTGTTTAGTTTAGTTTAGTTGTAAATGAGACAAACCCTCATCAAGTGCTTAACAATATAATAAAAGGCAAATAGGAACGGGAGGTATTCCACCAGCTCAAAGGAATGACTTTGACGTCATCACCAATTCCTCCCTCATATTTGACTATTCCCACTATTTTACTCCGGCCCATTCATGAGAATCTATCTTAGAATATGATACAAGGAATATTGTCGTGGTTAGTGCTCAAAGAATGAGAATCTACCCACTGTGTCAAACAAGTTTGGACACAAGAAACGGTTCACTGTTTGAAGACATCGAAGCGAGTAAGAGGTCAGTTTATCTCCCAGAGGGGTAAAACGGAGGAGCTACGATTCTCGATGTTTAGTAAACTATCGAACAGTGGTTGGTGTCGGCGAATCCTTAATGAGGCAGTTGGAAAGCACGTTTTCGGTTGTGTAACGGGTACTTTCATTGAAAAATGTGTTCAGCACCAGAAGCTGCGTTGGTTGGGACGTGTTGCGTATGCCGAACAATCGTTTGCCGAAGAGAGTGCCCGATTCAGAGTGGCCAACCCTTGAGTATGAAGTGGGTGGGTGCTGTCGGTGCTACTCGCCTTCTAGGATCGGGGCCGCGTGATCCTCACTGTGCCTGGTTAGAGACACTACGAGTTATGGCTGCCAACCGATGTCAGTGGCGTTCTTGTTCTCAGTTTCTATCTAGAACGCCCGAGTAAATGTCTGGAGGTATAGGCACCTCGAAATGATTGTGGCAAGCTAGCGCTATGTCCCTCCCCCGTCCACCTACACTCTTTACTTTACAATAAGGCTTCCGAACAAATCATAGTTGTACGGCAGTGAAGCATCGGTGTTGAACACTGATGTCGTGCTGTCGATGATGATGATGATGAAACAGTGAACTCTAGAGTAGGATTCAAACAGGATGGCGAGGATCGGAAAAATCGATGACCAGGCGTCCAAGCTATCAATGCCAGGAAAAGCACTCAGTCATCTGGTCAGAAAGTACTGATTAACGGACATTTGTGGCCGTGCGTGTGCGGAAGGTGACTATTTATGGGGAACTAAAATTCAATTCATTTTAGACCAAGGAGTGCCATCCATGGCTGCACTTAAGATTAATTATTTAAGATGGCCTCCAGTAATTATAAGGGCATCAACGGTTCCCGGGGGTACATTAAGAGACTGAAGATTCAAACTAAGTAGAAAATCCCAACCTAGTCAAAAACCTAGCAACACTTTTCATTACCGGATCGAAAGTTGTTTGATTTCACATACATTGCTTACAGAAAACGGCGCACGAATGATATGCTCACTATAATTGGGCATAGTTGACTTGTACTGGGGTTAGGCTCGAAATAGCTTACTGGTCAAGGCGTGATGAGGAAGGTACACGCACTTTTTCGTTTTAATTCACTAAATTACCAGCATAATTTCACGCGTACGTTTGAGAACTCACAAGCCGCACTTAAGACTGGACTGGTCACGCACGTACGTAAGAATAGAATGAATGTCCAGTGCGGTTCCCAAAACGATATTGCGCGGTGAAAACAAAAACAGCCTAGTGTCTAAAATGTCTGCCCTCATTTCAAGGAAGGCAAATCAGCATGCATGTGTGCGGTCTTAAAAGATCTCACGATCCAAGAAGTTAAACGGCGAGTAGCCATCCGGGCCCGCGGATTACCGGCACTTTCAATAAAGTGAAGGAAAACTAACGACATTCTATTGGATAGATCAGTTCACTTGTTGCTGAGTTGAATGTTGCTTTGGAAGGACCGATGGGTTTCCCTTCCTAAATCATACTGAGATTCGATAAAGCAGCTAAAATTCCACCTCTAACAGATCAAAAGCTTTCAGAATGATTATACACATGGAAACTCCGACTGGTGCATTAAACTAGACCCAACGTTCACCATCTCATTTCCTCACCCAGAGGCACACATGTTCACATTGAACTCTGTGCGCCCAAAAAAGAGTGCTTGTGACTAGGAATCGTCAATAGTCTGTCTTGACGCTTTGACTGATTTTTGTTACCCGATCAAGCATCACCTGGCATAGTTTACTATCAAGCCATACTTGCACACACCAGAAACATTTTTCTCTGTGAAATACACTCATTTGCAAACAACTTTGGTTTTGCCAGAGACTCACCTGGAACCCAGCTGAATCTCCCGTTTATGATGTGAATCTCAGACAAAGCCAAATTTGTTTGCAAATGAGTGTATTTCACTAATTTCGTGCAATTTGGTTTCAAGTGGGACATAAGGTGGAGGGAAACTCGCGGACTGCGCCTACCCGCTGAGTCCCAAGCAAAGCGAAGCCGATCGTGGGCTGTCGACGAATTTTCAGCAACCTTATGAGTAGTGCATTAAGTCTTCTTCGTGCATTGCTTGAAGTATTACTCGGATTCAGCCACGTTAACATTTTCACGAATGCTCAAAAGACGCCAAATTCAAGGTTCTTCGTAGAAACAGTTCGTCTTTCGTTGAAATGTGTTCCAGGACAAGAAACCCATATCACATCATCATTATTGTCTCCAAACCGTTAGATCAGGAGATAATCGATCAATCTGTTTCATAACAGACTTTCAGTCCTGAACTCAAGCAAAAGCGTGACCTGTTACCTGGGTTTTATATAAGAAACATATCAACCGTGTCAAACTCTAACGTAAAAGTTTGTGATACGGACCTAAACTGACAGTTCAGAACAAAATAAATGTTCTATGACTTACGTGAGACAGTGCTCACATCGGTTATCTTCTCTGCACAGAAGTGAGCCAATTCTGTGAAAGTGCGAGTATCACAATCGTCCATAGCCATTGAAGGGATATGGTCAGACTGCTGGAACTCGTTATCGCATTCACAGACCATATGTTGTTTCACCTGAGACCGATTCTGTTCCCGAGATTTGAAAAGCAAGGTTTTTGAGTCTTCGTGCAAAATGTCAACAACCATAAACGATTTACGAAGATGTTCAGCATTTCGAGACTGGGTGCCTAAATTCATCCTTTTTCACAACGTCTGTTAATTTGACTGTATCATGAAACAGGGTGACCTGATTTAATATTCTGTCTCTGCTCAATCTTTTGTCCTCGCATACTCGCAGCAAATCGGTTTGGTGTGCGCGCGACCGGTGGCACGTGGGTGAGAGAGATGGGCAGTTATCGCAGCCTTGTGGCGCGTGCGGTACAAACCCACCTACGCACGCAACGGTTTCTGATTCGTTTAGAGAGGTTCTGATTGGTCAAGTCCAATCCAATCAAATATGCCGTCGTTCATGCTTGGGCCGACAACAGTCTTTAATGCAGCATTTAGCAACATCATCGGGAAGAGGGTAATCGGTGTGATGATTGTGTCCGGGGCATGGGAGGGGATAGTAAATCACATGCCATGGAGTAGTCCCGATGCCAACAGCAATGCAGAATTGGACATGCACGGATAAGCAAGGTTGAAGACAGCGTCGACAATCGTCGGACCATAGCACTCTGGGGAATTGTAGACAGAAATCGCTTCGTAATTGTTGCGCACCCGCCCCTTTTCTGTTCTGTGGACAGTACGACATCTATTATTTAAATTCCACTTTTGAACAACGTTCGCACGCGCATACATTCTTACACACTCGCACGCGTACATTTACAGCGTTACCCTGGCGACCTTTGTTCAATTGGGGAACAGTAGGAGCAGCAGCACAAACTAAGGACAGAAAATTTCACGCTTTGATGTGCTCAGAGCTTCATCAGGATTTAATGAAGTGATCAATCCTGTGTGTGTGTGTGCGTGTGTGGATAAAGTGAAACGAGCGAGCATTTTCAAATAATCCTCGATGTGGGATTTGAATATCTGGTTGGCCCGACGGGTGTGATTGTAAGCCCTGGATCATATGGGAATGGGCTCAGTCGTAATGCACAGTTGACTGTGTGTAAAAACGTACCACTAAAAGGAAAGCCAGAAGTCCAATCTGTTGATGCAATCCAGGAAGCTCTTGCAGGGTCTTATCGCATGACCAAATTGATACATCTGAAAGCTCTTTGGCGAAAGTTTAAACATGAGCACAAAAGTGGCTAAGTACATCCGATGATTTTCGGTGTACCAGGGCTAATATCGAGTGTGTTCAAGCACGGGAGCTTCACTCTGTACATAGACAGGCCATTAGAATGGTACGGAAAAGGGTGACCTGTGTGACACTTCAATTACTCGGGGTATGTTCAACTACGAGATCACTATGCTCACTGTATACATTCAGAGACCAAATTTGTCTCCTCATATGCATTGCGATGATTGTGTTCTGGTCACCCGAATCTTATTTCCCAATAGATGATGTTGAAACTCAAGGGGAATTTTGAGCCCGTATAAGGCACAAAAAAGGCTAGACGCAAAACTATGGATGGCAATGAGACTTTTGAAATCTCTGCTAGCGATTGGATGATTTCCTGATTGGGTTTATATCACCGTTCACTTCATAATGCTTGCAGATGTGTGTGGGATACATGTTGATCGCCTGTCGAAATGTGGGTAGCTATGGTGGGCTAATTGGTTGGATGCTTGAGGTTTATCAAGTGGCTCTTGATGACATGTTAAGCTAAACTTGTAAAGACTATGTTCCTTTTTTATTCACAAAGTTGAGCGCTGGCTAATGCTTACATGCTTCTCGTTGGGGGTTGTGACTATAACGTTTTACGTCGCACACCCTAACTACTGATATCAGTTAAAGAGGCATTTCAAATTTCAGTATTTCGGATACACGAAATCTGCCGCAGTGAATTAATCATGAGACAAGTATTTGTGTGGGTAACTGCTGCATATGAAGTGATTTCAAGTGGGCAAGCTAACGAATGAAATATTCTTTTCATTAGTCCGCCTAGACTCCATCCAACTAACGGATTCAGGTACTATATTCGGCAACTACGACAACTTTTATTCGGCATGCCTGACCTGCGTTTACTTTCTTAAAGGTGTTTTAAACATCGGTGGCATCATTTTCTTTCTCACCTTCTGTGAAAGCCACTACTGTTGGCATTGTCAACGACCCTGGGCACTGAAGACACATGAGCCGCACTTCAGTTCTATTCCTTGCCACCGAGTTGACAAC